AACTACAGCACACACACTCACACACCCTACACAACTACAGCACACACACACAACTGTACACAACTACAGCACACACACTCACCATCTGTACACTGTGGTACACTCACACAACCCTACATAACTACAGCACACACACTCACACACCCATACACAACTGCACCACACACTCATACACCCGTACACAACTGCACCACACACACTCACACACTCGTACATAACTACAGCACACACAGACTTGTACGCACAACTGCGGCACACACATGCGCTCATACATATCACACGTCTACACAGACTCACACACACACTCACGTTGCACATTCTCACCTGTGCCCTCAGCCAGCACCACCCAGCACCCAGACAGCAGGGGTTCACCATGTAGCAAATGGTTCCAAGAGTTTATTTGAATATTTAATTTAAAAAAATCATACCTATGAGATGCGCTAGAGAAACAGATATGAGGAATTGCATATAAAACCCAACCACGTTTTGGGGGAGCCAGGAGCCAGAAGTGCTTCAGGAGGGCGTTCCGGGCAGAAGCCACCAGGTCACCTGGAAGACGCACACCTGAAGGTCAGCCTGGCTGCTTGGGAGGAGATGGGGGGGCTCCTGCTCGGCAGGGGGCCTGTGGGGGCAGGTAGCGCCCATGAGGGGCACCCGGGGGAGCCGCCCACGAGGGGCTTTGGTCCAATGCTAACTCATTTTTGTTTCCCGTTTTCAGTCAATCAAATACTAATGTCACCTGTTTTGGCAAGCACGTCGTGGACCTTCCAGAAGGTTCCTGTGGGTTTACAACAGAGAAGGCACCGCCTCCTACAGCTCGGGGCGGGGCCGTTTCCACCAGATACAAGCCCGCTATGGTTGGGGCCAGCTCCCCACGACCACCACCTAGGCTCAGCTGGCAGATCCCACAGCCTCCCACACCTCAGGAACCCCCCAAGCTGGGCAATACATACAAAACCCAGAGACCACTGTCCCAGGAGAAAGACTGGGATCTTTGCTCAAGGTGGACCGGGGCAGAGACCCCACATTCTTCAACACTGGAGAGTTCAATTGATGAGACGGCTCCCCCATCACACGGGCGAGCTCCCAGGCTCCCGGGCTCCCAGCTATGGGGCCTGGTTCCCAATTCGGGAAACGTCGAGCCGTTCGTTAGTAAGTGATGCTGACCAGAGGCCCACGCTGCCGCGGGGCATCTGACCACTCACAACTGGACACGAGCTCAGCACGCACCACTGGCCTTGAAAGAATCAGGGATCCTCACAATGGCTTCGTGTGACAGGCATTTTGGCAAAAGAAGAAACAGAAAATGCCTTGACTGTATAAACAATGAACCCGTCTTCCTAAGGAGCACAGTTACAAGATCAGCAAGTTCTGTGGCATCAACAAATTTCAAAAGCATCAGCAAAAGTATTAAATATAAAGGCAATATGTATGTCCCCCTCCCCCCGGAAAACAAAACCACACGTAAAAGGCAAGGTCTGTAGTGTGGGAGCGGGATGTGGGGGCAGGAGCGGCACCACCTACGCCCGGAGCTCCCGGAGCTCCACGTAGTTGGCCGGGAAGAGCCCATAGCGGCCCTTACACACCCCCCGCCACCAGCCGTCATCGATCATCTCGATGTTGGTGATGACGTCATCCGGGTCGAAGGAGATCTCGTCGTCACCCGCTGGGAAGAGAACAGGAGGAGGGGAGACTGAGACAGGGCTGCTGGCTGCTTACAGAGCCCTCCCCCCACGATATAGGCCCCCTGGCTGCTTAGAGCCCCCCCCACGATATAGGCCCCCTGGCTGCTTAGAGCCCCCCCATGATAAAGGCCCCCCCCAGGCCAGGCTTGATGCTTCAAGAGCTGCCTCTCTCCCTTCCCTCCCTCCCCAGCACTGAGGCCCACTGTCCCCTGAGGGCAAGGTCAGGGGAGGTGACCGTGGCACAGTGCAGTCAGTGGCTGAGTGGGCTCGAGGGGGCTTCATTTGTGGGAAACGAAATTAAAAGAAGAGAAAGGCCTTAGGAGGCCTTAGGAGTCCTTAAGAGAAAGGCCTTAGGAGAGGAAGGAAGGGGAGAGTCTAGAAAGAGCCACCAGGGATGGATCTGTGTGTGTAGTAGCCCTGACGGGCGGGCTGGCGGTTCAAACCCACCCAACGGCTCTGCAGGAAGGAACAGGTCATCACCTACACAGGTGACATCCAGGGAACCACAGGCCAGTTCTACTCGGTCACACAAGGTCACCTGAGTTAGAATCAACTTGAAGGCACCTGAGGGCACCACCACCTCGTGTGTGTCTGAGTGGATAAATGGGGTGGTGGTCCCCACAGCAACCCACCTGCTTCAGGAAGCAGCCCTGACTGCCGGGTGGCCATGCTGCAAATCTCACAGAGCCCGGCCTAAGGAGGCAGGCTCCGGAGCCAGCCTTAGTGACACTGGTCTGTGGACCCCTCATGGGATGGAGACACACTGGGTCTTCAGGGGCCTGTGTATGTATACACACAAGCGTGTGCACGTGCCCATGTGTGTGTGTAGGGACAGAAACTTCTCTGTCCCTCTGAGATGGTTCCAAATTGTCTCAAAGCCTGAGATCTCTCCCCACAAAAGGGCTCACAGGGCAGAGATGCTAACAGCGAGGCTGCAGGAGAGGGTGAACTGCCTCGTCTGCATACGTCTTACCAGCCTGGTAATCGTACAAGGCGACAGCCGTGATCCCCAGGTCATTTTCATACTCGTCATACGTGTTTTCCTCTGAAAAGGGACCAGGAGAAGCCGCGTGAGGAGCCCTCCCCACTGCCCTACCATATTTTTAATGGCATATCCCACGTTTGGGGGGTTGCTGGTTAGAGCCAAGTCCCAGTGAGCGCTGGGATCTAGGAGCAGCCAGGCACCTAAGATGGTGCCACAGGACGCAAAGCTATAGCCCCGCAGCCCAGACCCCCCATGAATCAGCCGGGTCAGAGGTGCTGAGACAGGTCCGCGGCCACGCTGAGGACCCAGAACCTCAGCCTTTAGTGGTGTGTGAGGTGAGGGAGGGCCCAGCACACATGACCTGTCCTAAAGCTGCCATCGCAGCCATGTACCTGGACGTACAGGGGAGCCTGGCTCCTATCAGCACACACGTCAGTCTTAGTGTCGCTGAGGCTCTCGGAAGGCGGGGAGCTCCACGCCCTTAAAGACGTTCCTGGGCCCCAGCCCCTCAGGAGTAGGACACAGAGCACGCACCTGCTGGGTAGTGGGCCTGGGCATCGGTGGTCTCGTAGACAGGCTCAGGGGTATAGGCCAGGCCCTCGTTGGTGCTATACACAGGCTCGGGCTCGCTCACGGGGCTGCCGGCGCCTGGGTAGCTTGACTCCGCTCGGAACGGAGCTGCATCCTGGGGACACACAGCATGTCAGCGGCCTGAGCCAGGATGGGGACAGACGGGCACACAGGCGCAGAGCAGCTACAAGGCTGGGTCTTCAGTGAAGCATGCCAGGGGGGTTTGGGGGCCATTTCCCCCCTCAAGAATCCAGACCCTGGTTCCCAGTTTCCAGCTATGACAACATTGAGGGTCCCCAACCCGGCCCCCGCTCCCTGGAGCTGGAGCCAGTTTCTCCTGGGTTGCTTTTCAAATCCCCAAACCCAAGGAATGGAAGGGGCCAGGCAGCCCGAGGCTATCAGGTACTGGTGGCCAGCAGTGGCCTTCAAGGTCCAATGGAACAAGGGACAGCATTCCTGAGGATGTGAAGGGCCCAAGACCAGAGCCTGTAGGATGGTACATGTCTGTCTCTCACACACACAGCCTCCCCCTAGCCACCCCATGGAGGGAGAAAGCAGGACGGGGCTCCCTCTGTGAAGGGATCCTGGGCTTTGGTGACAAGCCACACACATGCTCAGAAAGACAAAAAACCAACCTCATACACGGGACTCGATGGTGGCCTGTCGATAGCCGGCTGGGGCGTGGGGGACGCAGGCGGCGTCTGCTTTGTGGCTTGGGCTTGCTCCTGCCATTGAAACCCACATGGTAGTCAGAAGGTTAGTGGCTCACTCCAGAGTAGGACCTGTCTGTGCCGTCCAGGGCCCGTGTGTGTGTGTGTGTGTGTGCCACCAAGCCAGCAGGTTGGCCCCAGACACAGGCCTTCAGATGCCCCCCCCCAGCCCGACTTCACTGGAGGGGTAGCTTGGGGACTGCTGAGGGGTGCAGGTGGGCTTGGGGACCACTGAGCTGAGGGGTGCAGGTGAGCTTGGGGACTTGCAGAGATGACAATGAAATGGGGTGGGCTTCTAGGGCATGGCGGAGGGTTGTCCCCGTATTCAAGATGTGGGACTGGCATCCCTTGGGGGCAGAGGGCAGGCAGCAGTGGGCAGAAGGGCCCTCACAGATGTCCACATGCCCCAATTTCCAGAACCTGCGAGGACTTCTGAGGTGTGATTTAAACGGGAACTCTTGGCACAACTGAAAACTTTTCTGTGCCTTTGAGATGATTTCCAATTGCTTTCAAAACCTGTGCTCACTCTCCACAAAAGGACTGGTAAGGAAGGGTTCCTGGCCAGCAAGAGGACAGTGAGGTGGAGGCAGGAAGGTGGACAAGAGAAATGTATTAGGAAAGACGTTAACAAATGATCATGACAGTGGTGTCTGCGTGAGTCCAGTCTGTAACTGAGTACAACCAACCAACACACGGGGCTTCCCGAGCTGTCATCTTTGGCTCAAGGAGCCCTGGTGGCGCTGTGGGTCAGGTGCTGGGCTGCTGAAACTGTGTTCCCATCAAGATTTACAGTCTCGGGAAACCCTACATGTTGGAACCAACACGACAGCAGTGGTGTTTGGCTTTTCGGTCATCTTTGGTTCAAGAAGACAAACTCCAGACCCACAATGAAACGTGCAGACCTGGGGCTGAACGAACACACTCAGCATTTCTCCAGCTGAAAGAACTTAGGAGAAAACGTCAAGCCTCAACTTGGCAAGATGGAAGGATTTTAAGGGAAAAATACTGAATGATGAGGGAAGCATCAAAAGCAGAAGGAAGGAAAACACAGAGTCACTGTATCAAAAACCTTGCAAAACACGATAGCTAACCTTTTCAGAAAGCTTTTATCAAGAACCGATGGTATTCACTGAAGAAGTTCAATCTACACCGAAGGCGTCGTGGAAAACAAGGTTCCAGGAATGACAAAATACAAACTGAAATCTCTCAACAAGCGGACGCAGCATTGGAGGCGTTCACTCATCTACACCAAGAAATGTGGAAGACAGCCTGGACAACCAACTGGAAGAGACTCCAAAGAAAGGTGACGTCACAGAACCAGGAAATGGGCCAACAAGATCATTACTACCACCTGCAAGCAAAATTGTGATGAAGACAATTCAAAAGGGGTTGCAACATTGTATCAAACAGGGAAATGCCAGAAGAACAAACATACATATGTGGAAAGAAGTAACTTCAGGAATGCCTTCCTGAACCTGAGTGTGGAGAGATTTTATCTGTGCACATTTAATATGTTATCAGAAGGGACCAGTCCCTGGGAGGAGGACATCGTGCTTGGAAAGATGGAGGGTCAGTGAGAGAGAGGAGCCCCTCTAAAACACAGACTAGTGCAGTGGCAGCAGAAATGGGCTGAAAGAGAGCAACTTCCGGGAATGCGGACGGTGAAACAGAGCAACGGGAATGCGGACGGTGAAATAGATCAATGGGTATGCAGACAGTGAAACAGATCAATGGGTATGCAGATGGTGTTTGTTTCCTTCTGGTGTGCAAAAAGTTGCCATGACTTGGAACTGACTCAACGGACCTAAGAGCAACAGTAAATATTTGGTGCGGTGGTTATGCGCTCCATTGCTAGCGCAAAGGAGAGACCCGAAGCAGTCTGCTTCGGTAAAGACAGTCTTGGGAAACCCTAAGGGCAATTCTCTGTCCAGTGGGTGGCGGTGAGCTGGAACCGACTACATGGTATTGGGTTTGGGTTTGGGATTGGTTTGGGTGTGTAGCCCCAGATTTACACAAAGCTTTACAATTTATAACCGGATTTAAATGCACGATTTCAGAACGAACCACTCCAGAACCACGGTCAGAGGCTTTGGCAAGGTACTGCTGGGAGCAGGGGGCAGGAAAGAGGACGCCCATATGGCCTGCGCACGGCCTCACCCCTGCTTCCCTAGTGCAGTGAAGAGACAAAGGGTGTGAAGAGGACTTCCGGGCCACAGGGACAAGCACTATGGCAGAGTGGGTTCTAGAAAGAGGACCGACTGAGCCAAGGGGCCGTCAGCAGGGCTGCTCCTAGGCACGGTGTTGAGGCGCAGAGTGGCCCCCTGTGTCTGTGTAAGGACCTGGAGGGCAGTGGTAGAGTGCTTGACTACTAACTGCATGGTCAGATGTTCGAACCCACCAGCTGCTCCACAGAAGATGTGGCAGTCTGTTTCTGTACAGACTACAGCTGGGGTAACCCTATGGGGGATCCCTACAGGAACTACAGCTCTCTCCTATGGGGTGGGGTGAGCTAGAAGGGACTGGACAGCAGGGGGTCTGGTTTGGGGTTTGGGTGTGTGGTCAAAGCGAATACCCTAAAAGGCCAGTAGCCAGTGTGAGGTCTGGACGTCGTGCTGAGACCCCGACGACCCCCAAGCCCCCATCGTGCATGTGTGTCAGACTCCACACCTCCAGCCGCCTCCTGGCCTCTTCCTGCTCCTGCTTTTCCTTCGCCATCCGCTGGGCTCGCTCCGCCTCCGCCTTCCGCCTGTCCTCCTGCTCGCGCTCCTTGGCCAGGTTTTCAAAGTTCGCCCTGATGTTGCTGGTCTTGTTGTTCGCTGTGGAGAAGAGACTCGCCTGACGCCGGGCAGTACCCTGCCTGCCCACAGCACCTTGTCCACCCACAGACTTCCCTCATCGACTCCTGACAGCACCTCAGACGGTCGCAGAAGCAGGCAGAGAAGTCTGGCGCTACCCGCTAGACTAACAAACACGTGAAGCCACGCCACGGCCCTGCATTTGGGGGGCATTTTCATATTGAGCAGATAAGCACACACTGCTTCCTTTCCAGTATATGGAGACAGGAAGAGCAAGCCTTCCCGTCGCCCAAGTTAACGCGTCCACATTCTACCCAGGGAAGAACTCTCCCTTCCCTCCCACCCTGGCAACCATCCCAGACAGTTACTACCGAGTGAAAACCTGGACTTTATAGAACAGCAGTGGTCTCGTCCCCTTACGACCAACCAATTTCACTCGGCACAATGCCTTCCATGTTTGGTGGTGTTTTGCAGATTCATCATTGCTCCTCAGTGTTGTAGAATATTCCACTACGTGTCTGTCCCGGTCTGTTCACCCTTCCTCTGCTGATGAGTCTCTAGGCTGTAGCTTCAGTGAACACAGGGGAGCCTCCATTTATTCACACCACGGATCTAAGTTCCTGAGTTCTTGTTGCTGTCAGCTGCTGTCAAGTTGGTTCCAACTCATAGCCACCTTCTATACAACACAATGAAATGGTCCTGTGCCGTCCTCACAACTGGTAAACGTGGGCTCCGTGCTGCTGCCACTGTGTCAAACCACCCGGTGGGGGGGGGGTGTCTCCCATTTTTCGTTAACCCTCTCGAGGAGTCGTGGTGTGGCACTGTAGGATAAGCACTGGACTGCTAACTGCAAAGTCAGCAATTCAAGCCCACCAGTCACTCCTCAGAAATCCTGGATAGGGTCCCTATGAGCTGTATGCCTTAAAGGCCCTTAACCCTTTAGAATATGTACCCAAGTAGACAGTCATACCGTATGCCTATTTCCAACCTTCTGAGATTGCACCACATCATTTGCACAGCAGCGGCACCATTTTACTACCACCAGCAGTGTACGAGGGTCTCATACTTGCCACACCCTCTCCACCATTTGTTGCCTTGTTTTGTAAACTTTGCTGTTAATGAGTCCAGAGTCCTTGTGTGGCACTGGGGGCTAATGCTAAGACTGCAAAGTCATTGAAACTGCAAGGTCAGTGGTTCAAGCTCACCAACTGCTCCTTGGAAACCCTATACAGGGTTGCTATGGGTCAGAATTGACTTGATGGCACTTTAATAACGCTAATGAGTCCGGTGGCAAAGCTTCCAGAATTACAGCAACTCACTAGCCACCACATTACGACAAACTGACAGACGAGTGGTGACCAGTATTTTAAACACCAGCAGGGTCACCCATGGTGGGTAGGTCTCAGATGCGCTTCCAGATGAAGACTAGGAAGAAGGGACAAACTACTTCTGTATATTCAGTCAGTGAAAACCTTATGAATAGCAGAGAAACACTGTCAGATATAGTGCCGGACAATGAGCCCCTCAGCTTGGAAGACACTCAAAATGAGACTGGGGAAGAGCCGCCTCCTCAAAGTAGAGTTAACCGTGATGACGCGAATGGAGCAAAGCTCCTGGGAGAAAAGCCCGCAGGACCTTCATTTGCTGAGGGGGAACAACTCAAAATGAAGAGAAACAGTTGTAAACCACCACTAGTAATCGGGAAATGTAATATACAAAGTATGAATCCAGGAAAATTGGAAACTGTCAAAAATGAAATGGAATGCATAAACATCGATATCTTAGGCATTAGTGAGCTGAAATGGACTGGTATTGGCCATTTTGAATCTGACAACCACATGGTTTACTATGCAGGGAATGACAACTTGAAGAGGAATGGTGTTGCAATCATTGTCAAAAATAATATATCAAGATCAGTCGTGTGGTATAACGCTGTCTGTGATAGGATAATATCCATGTGCCTACAGGGAAACCCAGTTAATACCACTATTATTCAAATTTACGCACCAACCACTAAAGCCAGTGAGGGTGAAATTGAAGAACTGTACCAACTTCCTCAATCTGAAATTGATCACATGTGCAATCAAAATATACTGATCCTTAGTGATGATTGGAATGCAAATGTTGGGAACAAAGAGAAAGGATCAGCACTTAGAAAATATGGCCTTGGTGATAGAAATGATGCTGGAGATGGCATAATATAATTCTGCGAAATCAATGATTTGTTCATTTCAAATACCTTCTTTAGACAGTATAAGAGAGACAACTATACACATGGCCCTCACCAGATGGAACACATTGAAATCAAATTGACTACATCTGTGGAAAGAGAAGATGAAAAAGCTCCACATCATCAGTGAAAACAAGGCCAGGGGCAGACTGTGGAACAGACCATCAATTACTCATGTGCAAATTCAGACTGAAGCTAAAGAAAATAAAAACAAGTCCACGAGAGCCAAAATAAGACCTTGAATATATCCCACCTGCATTTAGAGATCATCTGAAGAACAGATTTGATACATTAAACACTAAACACAGAAGACCAGAAGAGTTGTGGGATGACATCAAGAACATCATACAGAAAGAAAGCAAAAGGTCATTAAGAAGACAAGAAAGAAGGAAAAGGATAAAACAGATGTCAGAAGAGATACTAAAGCAAATGGAAGAAATGAGGAGGTACAAGAGCTAAACAAAAAATTTCAAAGGTCAGCTCGAAAAGATGAAGTCAAATATTGCAACAAAATGTGCAAAGATTTGGAGTCAGAAAACCGAAATAGAAGAACACGCTCAGCATTTCTCAAACTGGGGGAACTGAAGAAGATTCAAGCCTCGACTTTCTTTATTGAAGGATTCTCTGGGCAAATTACTGAATGATGCAGAAAGCACCAAGAGAAGATGGAAGGAATACACAGAGTCACTGTACCAAAGAAAACACTTGATGTTCAACCGTTTCAAGAGGTAGCATATGATCAAGAGCCAATGATACTGAAGGAGGAAGTCCAAGGTGCATTGAAGGAATTATCAAAGAACAAGGCACCAGGAATTGATGGAATAAAATTTGAAATCTTTCAAGAAAGTGAGGCGGCACTGGAGGCACTCACTTACTTATCTATGCCAAGAAATTTGGAAGACAACTATCTGGCAGACTGATCCGTATTTGTGCTCATTCCAAAGAGAGGTGACCCGATGCAATGCAGGAATCATCGGACAATCTCTTTGATATCCCATGCGAGTAAAGTTTTACTAAAGGTAATACAGAAACGGCTACAATCATACATTGACAGAGAACTTCCAGAG